TTAGGCACTATGCTACCAGAGCTCCCCAGGTGAAGGTAGGAAGGGCTTTATATTAGAATAATGATATAATTTAAAGGTAAAATTGACAGCACATTGTCAGCAAATCAACAAATCAGAACAAGGGGAAGGAAAGCAGCCAACCAGGATGACGCTAAGATTTTGGACTTGTGGGAAGTTAGATGGTATTGTCTCTAATGTAGAGTTAGGGACCATGAAGTAAGAGCAGATTTGAGAAGGAAGATTAGTTTAATCTTAAACATGTTGCTTTGGGGTACTAGCATTCAGGTAGAGAAAAGTGGTTGGCTGTTGTAAAGCACTAAGGCCTAAAATTTGGGAATCCTTTGCAGTAGTTTTTCATGCCTTGAGATTGTAAAGGGAGAGAAGAGAGTACCTGGGAAAAGAGCAGAGAGTAAGTTCTTGGGAAATATTTTGATTAAGAAAGTGAAATGGAAAGCCAAATATTGAATAAAATCAAGTAAGAGAACCAACAGACAACAACAGTGGAGAAACCAAAGAAATAAATTTTCAGGAAAAAGATTCAAATCTGTTTCTTCCCAAAAGAGCTCTATTGTATATAGGAATGTGGTATATTTATTTCTATCACATCATGCCTTATTCTGCTATACTCTCTAGCTTAGTTGTTTACACACAGTAGGTTTTCAGTAATTTAGCAGATCTTAGAGCCCTGGTGATGCTGAGTTAAGCACTTGGCTGCTAACCAAATGGTTGGCACTTTGAATTCACTAACAGTTCTGTAGGAGAAAGATGTGGCAGTCGCTTCTGTAAGGATCGCAGCCTTGGAAACCTTATGGGGCAGTTGTACTCTGTCCTATAGGGTCACTATGAGTCAGAATCTACTCGATACGGGTTTTATTTGGTAAGGGAATCACAGGATCTCACCTGTCTATTTTTAAGGATTAACATTTAGCAGAATGTTAAATAAATATTTGAGGTTCAGGCCACTGATTGTGTAGTCTGGTGTTTTATTGAAGATTTGAAAGTAAAATCATTGGGGTGAATTGGTGCTTTGCAGGATTTCTATCAAGTTACCTGTTTGAGATTGCCTCTGTGATATGTTCTTGATCTATTCTTACTTCCTCTATGGTAAAATGGTAGAAGTTCTAACCAGAAGTAGTTGAAGGATCTGAAAGTATAAGGAAAACAGTTAGTGGAATTTAGAGATTGAACAAATGAAGGCATTTTTATCTTTTTCACTTGAATTATTTGGTATGCAAATTATGTTAGACTATCTTCAGAGATGATTAATTTGATCACTTTTGTAGGTGCCTTCAGGAAACAAACAGGAAAGTAGAAAGGGGATAGCTTGCTGCTACAAGCAAAAGAAGACAAATACCAGAAAACTGAAGCTGATTTATTGAGTATTATAAAAGAGGCAGGGTTTAGAGAGACTTGGTAAATTTGGTGCTTCATTTTATCCAGGAAGGAATAAGATAGGACTGATGCTGACCCCCAGTATGGCACAGAAAAAAAAAAAAATCTCCCTTTTACAGAGAATTTTCAGGCAATCAATAATTTGATCTTGAATTGACTTAATATTTTATGACAGGAATAGACTTTTGAATACATAAATTATTGAGCAAGTATATTCCATAGTGGTTTGTTTCATACCAATATCTAAAGCATCTATATCCTAGTCCAAAGGACTAATGGATACTATAAGAACCTTAGCCTATATGAACCTGAGACCAGAAGAACCAGATGGTGCCCAGCTGCCAATGCCAACCACTCAGAGAGGGATCAAAATCTGAGACCCTGGATATAGAGAAAAATGTGGAACAAAACTCAAAGTCATAAAAAAGACCAGCCTTACTGGACTGATGGAGACTGGTGAAACCCCTGAGACTATGGCCCCAAGTCACCCTTCAGGCCTGGAATTGAATTCACTCTCAGCCAAATAATAGGCCTGTAAGCTGAACGTGTCAGGAATGCATAAATAAGGACACACGTAACCACATGAAGGCAGTGGGAGGTGAGCTGTTAAAACTGTGGGGAATGTAACCAGTGTCACAAAACAATATGTGTATAAACTGTTGACTGTAAAATCTGCTTTGTAAAATTTCACCAAAATCCTAATGAAAAGTTCTTTTTTTTGTTGTTCGTTTTAAAGCATCTATATTTATAGAAAATTCCAACACCTCAACAATAAAAAGACAAATAATCGAGTTCAAAAATGGGCAGAAGACATTAATAGACACTTCACCAGAGAGGATATTCAGGCAGCCAACAAACATAGGAAGAAAGGCTCATGATCATTAGCCATTAGAGAGATGCAAATCAAAACAACAATGAGATACCATCTTGCCTCAGCACTAGTAGCAAAGTTCAACAAGACAGAAAATAACAAATGCTGGTGAGGATGTGGAAAGATTGGGATACTCCTACACTGCTGGTGGGACTGTAAAATGGTGCAACCACTGTGGAAAGCAATATGGCGATTCCTTAAAAAGTTAAAATTAGAAATACCACTTGACCTAGCCATTCCATTCTAGGTATATATATCCTAGAGAAGTGAGAGCCAGGACAAGAACAGACATGCACACAACCATGTTCATTGCAGCACTATTTACAATAGTTAAAAGATGGAAACAACCTAGGTGTCCATCAACTGAAGAACTGATAAGCAAACTATGGTACATATACACAGTGGAGTACTGTGCAACCCTAAAGAATAATGTAGAATCTGCAAAACATCTCATAATGTGGATGAACTTGGAGGACATTTTACTGAGTGAAATAAGTCAATCACAGAAGGACAAATATTGTAATAGTCTGTTATTGTAAAAAGTCAAGGAAAGGTGTATATATGGAAGGAAAGTTCCTTTGTTAGTTACCAAGGGTGAGTGGTGAGGGTAGGAAACACTGTTAGATAAGTAGAGATAAGTATTGATTTGGGTGAAGAGAAGGGCAGTGTACCAAATGTGAGTGGCATTGAAGAAGAGGAAGGCATAGAGAGGTACATGGGAGGTACAGACAGCAAAAATGATCCCTTTTGCACATACAGTACTGTGTTGTCAGTGAAGGCAAACATAGCTATATGAGTGGATAGATGGATGGACGGGCTGAATGATTAGGTATGTCTGTGCAGGGGGAGTGTGCCCAAGACCATGTATAGGGTTGGCAGACAGTGTTCCTACAGGTGTATGTGTATTGTCTGTTAGAATTCCCAGGTGTATAGTAGAGCTGAAAGGGTCAAATCTGTTGTCACTTCTTGGTCACAGCCAGCTACCCTGAGGGAGTGAGTAGTTGGACCTGTGGGCTCGGGACCACAGTCACAGGAGACCTCAAGCTCAATTGGCATAACACACTATATAAAACATTGTTCTACCTCCTACTTTGGTGAATAGTGACAGGGATCTTAAAAGCTTGCAAGCAGCCATCTAGATGCAACGATGGGTCTCTCCTCATCCAGAGCAAAGAAGACTGAAGAAAACCAAAAATTCATGGAAACAATTAGTCCAAGCGACTGGTACACCATGTGATCCTCAGCCTATATGACTATGAGACCAGAAGAACTAGATGGTGCCTGGGTACCATTGTCAATCACGTGGAAGGGGATCTACATAGGAGATCCTGGATAGAGTGGGAGAACAATGTGGAGCAAAACTCAAAATCATTTGGGGAAAAAACAAAAGAGGGACCAGGTTTGCTGGTCTTATAGGGCCTGGTGGAACCACTGAGACTATGGCCCCTAGCTGCCCTTCAGGTCTGGAATTGGACCCACACCTGTGGCTTCTAGCTAAACAAAAGACAGGCATTTGAGGTGAACATTTACACTAGGTAGATACTCTCCTTGGAGAGAACAATCATGGGAGAATAGAAGGGCTGTGTATGCACAAGGACATAGCTCAGGGGGCAGGAGTGCATGGAGGGAAGGACACAGAGAAGAGGTAACTATGGGGAGGAAATGGGAAGAGAGGTGTTGCATTGTGGTAAATTGTAGTCAGTGTCATGAGACAAAGTGTATATGAACTGCTGTATGGAAAGTGAGTTTGCTCTGTAAATTTCACCCAACACACAATAAAAAAAATAAAGAGAAAAAAAAATCTATATCCTGTTCTGTCTGACAGTGGCATTAAAGATAACACAGACAGTCTGATTGAAGTGTACACCTGATAAGCAGAGATATCATTTGAGTGTGTTAAATTGGAATTGTGTAGCATCTTTATAATCACAACCATTAAACAGAGGTTATAAGAACACAACTAATTATTAAAACATAAAGTAGTGATGTACGTATGTAGAAATTCTTCATGCTTCCGATGTTAGCATTTGTGGTAAAACAAAAGGAGATTGGGGGTGGGTGGGTAAAACCTATCTCTTTAAGTTATGATTTAGTGAAAACATTTGTTAGATCTAGATATTAAATCATTCTTTTTAGTGTGAGTTTTTATTTATTTTTAGTTTATATGAGTTGCATATGGTGTATTTCATCCAGAATAGTGTATGTAATGCAGGAAATAACATATTTGGTTTCCTAACGTTTCCTTTCTTTTGTGGGTGGGTAGTTACAGCAGTACACCAGGTCTTCCATTTCATTATTTGTTGAATTCTTTATCTGTCACCCTGGGTAAGTCAATTTGTTCCTGTTTGTTTACACCTAGAGTTATTAGGTATGATTCATTTAAGAATAAAAGCTTAAAAATATATTACTGTTAAGCTTTTAAACTTATTTACTTTATAATATCTATTGCAAAGGAAGACATTGGCGTGGACCCAGTGCGGCAGTCTTTCTTCCATTATGTTTGCATCCTTCATATGATGTTAGAACAAAACAGTTTATCTGAAGCCTGTCTCAGACAAAGATGGCAGTATCCCAGAGTATTTAATATTGTCAACAGCTTGTTCCTTCCTGTCTTCTTCCCTAGTTCTCTAAGTCTTTGAATAATACTGACCAGAAAATGTATTCAAATGAAGTATTTTAATGTTCTTATCAGTTAGGCACATTGTGTGATACATTTAAAATAAAAATAATTTTGTTTATTTAATTTTGCCATCTCATTGTTTGTAGGCGAAACCTAACCAAACTGTCCCTGATCTTCAGCCATATGCTGGCAGAACTCAAAGGAATCTTTCCAAGTGGACTCTTTCAAGGAGACACATTTCGGATTACTAAAGCAGATGCTGCTGAATTTTGGAGGAAGGCTTTTGGGGAAAAGTAAGTCTCAAAGTCATAAATTTGAGCTATGAAAAACTAAAGCTTATGTTATGGGGGTTGGGTTTTGTGTTTAGTTTTTCCTTATATTTAAAATATGGGAAAGCATAGAGAAAAATAATGAGTGTGTGTTTACCCACACCTCCCAGTTTTAATAAATACATATATTTTTTAAGAAAGCTTTGCAGATTTCATTGAAACCCATGCTCCTTGATTAAATTCTCTCTCTACCCATTCTGTTAATGGATGTTTACATTTTAAATTATTTTTTATCACAGTGCTTTAGTGGACAGTTGTACTTGTCTTCTTGTGTTCTTGCACAAGAGTTTCTCCTTACATACATACCTAGGAGTGGAATTGCTGAGTTTCACATATGCTTTGCTAAATATTCCTTAATTGCTTTCCAAAGTGGTTGTACTTATAAGTAGTGTTACAGTAGCTCTAGTTTGGCTGACATTGATAATATGGATTATCTTGCTTTTTAGTCCCTGATGATGAGGGAGATTAAGCATCTTTTCACATTCTTGATTAGTCAGAATTCTTATTCTGACTTGCCTGTTCTTTGTTCATTTTCCTGTTGAGCTGTTTTTCTTTTTTTAAAATTGTAGGAGATCTTTTTCGTATGTTCTGGGTACTGATTCTTAGTTACATACTTTACAAATGTCTTCTCTTTAGTATGCCTTTTCTTTCTACTTTGTTATATTGTCTTTTGGTGTATAGACGTTTAAAAATACAGACAGGTTTATGAGCCAAGCTTATATTTTTAAGTATAAATGAAAATGTTATATATCTTGGGAATTTTGAGTCAAGGAACTGAAAAGGTAGAAGGCAATAAAACTTTTCAGTTGAATATGCAGATAGTAGCTTAAATGGCCACTGCCTTTTTTTTTTTTTTTAATTTTTATTGTGATCTGGATGAAAGTTTACAGAGCAAATTCACTTTCCATACAGCAGTTCACATACACTTTGTCTCATGACATTGACTGCAGTCTCCCACAATGCAACAGCTCTCTTCCCACTTCCTCCCCATAGTTACCTTTTCCTTGTGTCCTTCCTTCCCATGCACTTCTGTCCCCTGAGCTATCTCCCTATGCGTACAGCACTTCTCTTCTCCCATGATTGAGCTCTCCAAGGAGCTCTAGTAGCTCTAATAGCCATTCCTCGGAAGGAAGGTTGGGCAATCTACTTCTGTAGTAATACTGCCTCGGAAACCCAAGGAGGGGACGCTATGAGTCAGGTTCGACTGTACGGCACATAACAACAACAACAACAACGAGTACATCTACCTAATGTAAATGTTCACCTCAAATGGCAGCCTTTGTTTGGCTGGAAGCCACAGGAGTGAGTTCAGTTCAGAAGGGTAACTAGGGGCCATAGTCTCAGGGTCCTCCCCAACCTTTATAAGACCAGCCAAAGTCCCTTTTTTTTTTTTTTTTTTAATGATTTGGAGTTTTGTTCCACCTAATAGCTTTCTTTGTTTAAAAAATTATATTAAAAATTGTCTTCTATATAAAATATAGAATAATTAGCGAATTTTAAAACCTAGTTAAAGAGGATGAGGATGTATTTAATTTTGTTCTTTTAATTTAGTAACTAATTACATTAGAAGGACTTCAAGACATCACTTGATCTGACTTATTTTCAGGCAGGTAATTATGTACATTTTCCAAAGGAAATGAGAGTGTATTTATTTTAAAGGTCTCAAGAAATAGAATTCCCACAGTATCTCTTACTAGCTTTATCTGGGATTTAATTGCTCTTACATTAAATAATTTTTTCCTCATCTTTACCAGAACTCTGTTCTTCCTGCATGTTAAACTTACTTCTTACTGTCTAGTCCTTGATAGTGTGGGTTCTTCAAAAAAATACAGAACATTTTACTATTTTAAAAAGTTCGTTTAAACACAAGCTAGTAAAGGTCCAACCACAGAGTATATTTGTTGTATAAAAAGGACTGTTTCCTCTCTCTTTCCATTCCTGTCTAATAGAACAAATGTCTGAAGAAAAATGAGGCAGGATTAGTTTGAGACATTCTCTCTAAGAATAGTGGAAAAAGACTTCTCTGTTATTTAGTCATTAGAAAGTTAGGGAATATAGCCCTTATTCCCTTCTTTCTCGTCCTGACCCAAAATACAGCTCAGCTTCTTTAAGAGAATTGAAATTGCTGTTGAAGCTTAATGTGGTTCTCTTCCTTTTCCTTGATTTATATAATCAATGCCCGGAATCATCTGTCTTATCTCACTCTGTGCTTTCTCTCCCACCCACCCCCACCTCTACCCCAGGACAATAGTCCCTTGGAAGAGCTTTCGACAGGCCCTACATGAAGTACATCCCATCAGTTCTGGGCTGGAGGCCATGGCTCTGAAATCCACTATTGATCTAACCTGCAATGATTATATTTCAGTGTTTGAATTCGACATCTTTACACGACTCTTTCAGGTAGGATACTAAAGAGTTGTATAAACTGGTTGCCACTACTTTTCTAGAGATAAAGTTTTTTTAAAAAAATAATATTTGGAGGTTTTGCCTGTTATAAATGTTTCTTTTATTCATTTTAGGGACTATAAACAGGAAGCAAAAAAAAAAAAAAAAGATTATAAAACTACCCTGTGTGTTTTATATTTATGCACGTGTGTGTGTATAAATGTTTTATAAAAATAATATCTGTGCACTCTGCTTTCTTCCCCTCATGTGTCAATCCTTCTTTTATTATTATTCTTTTATATAATTTTAATGGTTGTAGAATGTCCAGAAAATAGGTGTAACGTAATATATTTCATAAATTCTCTCTTAGTGGATATTTATGCATTTTTCCAATATTTTTTTTCCTATTGTATTGAAATTCTTTTTTATTGTTGTTATTATTTTCTTGTAAAAAATACATATAATACAGTATTTGCCAATTCAACATTTTTCAGGTATACAACTTAGTGATATCAATTACATTAATCACATTGTGTAAAGTAACCATCACCCATAATCATTGCTAAATTTCTGATTACCCTAAACAAAGTATATTGAAATTCTTTTTTTTTTAATGCATTTTACTGAAATATAATTTATGTACAGTGAAATACATAAAACTAAAGTGACATGGGTCAATGCTTTTTTTTTTTTTGGCAGTGTTCCCTCCCCTCCCCTCCCACCACCCCTGGCAACCAACAAAGAAAGTTTCCCTCCATATATAGACCTTTCCTTGATCCTCCACAATAATGAAGTAATACTATATTTGTCCTTCTGTGATAGACGTAATGTCACTAAGCATAATGTCCTCCAAGTTCATCCATATTATGTGGTGTTTTGCAGACTCTACATTATTCTTTATTGCTGCATAGCATTCCATTATGTGGATGTACCATAGTTTAGTCATCCACTCTTTTGCTATAAATCTTAGAGATAAGTCCCTTGCCAGATATGTAATTATTGGCAAATATGAATTTGTTGCTGTCATTTTTGTTATGTGCTTTTTCCTGGTGTCAATTTCTTTGTTCCGTATAATTTTCTGTGCTCAGCTCGTTTTGTTTATGAGTCATGTTATCACTTTCTTCATTGCTTTTGTTTTAGTATTTGCTGAATATTTATGCTAGTCTTCTTTTTTGATGTGAAGGTTTATCATTTTTCTTTGAAGTTACCCTGTGATTTGTAGTTTTCTTCGCAAGTTTAGAACAGTCTGTTCTATCTTGTAGTTGTCTTGACTTCCTACCATGTAGAAGCTCTGTAATGACACAGTTTTTTCCCTCTTTTTGATTTGTAGTTGTCTTCATTTGTCATTGGTGTCTCTGGTTCCCTCTTTACAATCTTTTATTTTAAGAGCTTGTTTTACATTCAACGTAACGCGTACATTTAGTTTCATTCCCCATTTGTCCTGTCCAACCCTAACCCAGTCTCCTCCCCTCCCTACCCTACAACTCTCCCCCTGTGCTCCTCATAATTATGCACTCCTGTTTGTCCTGCATTTCCTCAGTCCCTCTTTACAATCTTGTAGGCTTATTTACTTTGGATACTTCCATAGCTGGTTTTGTTTCTGGATTATATCATCATGTGTGTTAATGGTCAATTATTGTTGGCTGTTGTTGCTTCTGTATCCAAAGGGCTCCCTTTAGCAATTTTTGTAAGGTTGGTCTGGTTTTAACAAATTCCCTTAATTTCTGCTTGTCTAGAAATGTCCTAATTTCACCATCATATTTGAGGGGCAATTTTGTGGGGTACATAATTCTTGGTTGGAAATTTTTCTCTTTCAGGGTATACCATCCCATTGTCTTCTCGCCTGCATGGTTTCTGTTGACAAATCCAAGCTTAGTCTTATTGGTTGCCCCTTGTAGGTAACTTTCTGTTTTTCCCATGCTGCTTTCGTGATTCTCTCTTTGTGTTTCGTTTTGGTAAGTTTGATAATGATATGTCTGGGTGATTTTCTTTTGGGGTCTGTCCTGTTTGAGGTTCGTTGGACTTCCTGAATGGATATATTCTCATCTTTCATCATACCAGGAAAATTCTCTTCCAACAAATCTTCGACAATTTTCTCTCTGGTTTTATTTGTCCCTTCCTGTTCTGGAATTCCAATTACACATAGGTTATTCCTTTTGATGGTATTCCACATGAACCTCGGGCTTCTTTATTTTGTTTTGATCTTTTTTCTGATTGATCCCTTTCCAAAGAAGTGTTCAGGTATTTCCCTTCAATCTCCCTAATTCTGTCTTCCATTGATTCAATTTTGCTTCTTTGCCTGTTCAATGTCTTATCTATTTCTGAAAATTTAGCATTGATCTTCTTGATTTCTGTGTGTAGATTTTGTATCATTTCTAATTTTTCATTGATTTTGTAATTTTGTTCTTGTATTGTCTTTTGAAATTGTTGTAGGGTTTTCTCTGTGTTTTCCTTGATCTGTCTCTCAATTCGTTGAAGATACCTAAATATAATTCTTTTGAATCCTTATCAGGGAGTTCCAATGCTGCGTCTTCCTCAGGCATGTGTTTTGGGTCTGTATCCTGGTCCCTTGTTTCTTCTGCTTTATCTTGCTTCTTTGTGTGGACTGTGATGCTCTGTTGTCTCTAAGGCATTGTGACATTTTTGTGTTTATATTTAATTGGTGATTGTATGTTGGAGTGACCTGCCTATGATTTTTTTGTTTTGTTTTGTTTGTATGTTATCTATGGAAACAGGGTACTGTGCTGTGCTCCTCTACTCACTAGTTGACAGTACTTATATACTCACCACCTTTCTCCTTTCCTGTTGTTAGCCTCTTATATGTCCCTGCCGACCTTGGCAAACAGAGCCTATTCTTAGGTCCCTGGAATCTGAATGAGAATGCTATCACTTTAAAATCCAAAATGGTTGCCACTTGAAAAGATTCAAAATGGCTGCGCCCTCAGTCACTTTTAATATTCAAAATGGCCGCTGCTTGTAAACATTCAAAATGGCCGCTGCTTGTAAACATTCAAAATGGCTACGCCCTCAGTGACTTTAAATATCCAAAATGGCTGCTGCGTGTAAACAATCAAAATGGCTGCGCCCTCTGGACAGCGGAAAGTCAACACTCAGGTTGTTTCCCTCCTTGCTGTTTCCCTTCCTAGTCATAGGCCACCAGCGCAGTCGTCCCTGTAGCCCTTGATGACCAAGGTTGATCTTTAGGTCAATTCTCAGGTCCCAACACCACTTAGAAACATTCAGGCTGTTGGTCTCATCAGAGTAGCTGACAGTCTGCACCTCCAGCCATGTCTGTACTCACTGTTTTTGTTCAGGTTTTCCACTAGTTGGTGCCTAATCCACTTCTGTATACTTCCTTTCAAAGCTCAGGGCTCCAGGATTATCTTCTGTATCTCTGTCAATTGGTTTTTCTTTTCTTTGTTGAAGAGGGTCTGTGTTACTTGTCTGCCTATTCCTCCATTTTACCTGATTCTTGACTTAGTATTGAGATAGAGTAATACTTTAAAAAAATTTTTTTTTTCTTTCTTTTTCTCAAATTAACTCTTTCTTCAGTGGTACATGCCAATTTGCCAAAAATTATTTGGAACTTATTAGTTGCACATGTACATTCTGCCCTGTCTTTCTGCTTTCTGTTTGTTGTTATTTAACCTCCCTGTTGTGAGTTAGGCCTGCTTTTACATTGCTTGTCTTTGGTTTCATGCAGTTAAGTTTCTCCCTATGCGTATGTATTTTTTTCTTCTTAGTTTCTTTGAAAGTTCTTATATCTCAAACACGTCTATCTTCCCTCAGAGTAACAAAGCATTTGAAAATTTTGACAGTAAATTGACAGTTAATAATTTAGAATTGAGGTTATATGTTTTTCCTTTTGTTCATTGCTCTGGGGGTGGTTGTACATCTTGAGCAGAATGGTCTGAGACAATCTCTTGTTTCCTTAGCCCTGGTCCTCTTTGCTCAGGAACTGGAACAGTCTTGCTGTAACTCATCCTGGCTATATGGCTTTCTTGACATATGATGAAGTGAAAGCTCGGCTCCAGAAATTCATTCACAAGCCTGGCAGGTTGGTGCCATGAAACAAAGGGGTTTATTCTCCTGAATTTTATTCTCTTGTGAATTCTGCTAAAATTGAGGAAATGAGATCTTTTATTTGTTCCCCAGTGGCCAAAATTCTATAATAGAATTAATGTCTGTGTATCAGAGGAATTGACTAATGAGATCCTGTCATTTCATAAATGCTTTCAAGCCACTTAAAAATTGGGTTTATGGGTTGTTTGCTTTGGGTCTAGAGTCGTCGAACAAGCTATTCTTAGTGTTCCTTTTGATTTTGACTATGTCTTGCTCCCACTCTAATACCATCGTATATATTAAAGCTTCTGTTTATCTCTGTTCTCAGTTACATTTTCCGGCTAAGCTGTACTCGTCTGGGTCAGTGGGCTATTGGTTATGTCACTGCTGATGGGAACATCCTCCAGACGATCCCTCACAACAAACCTCTCTTCCAAGCACTGATTGATGGCTTCAGGGAAGGCTTGTGAGTAACTACTGTTGACTATCTGTTAGGGACAGTAATAGTTCATCTTTAATGACTTTATTTCTGGTTTCTTCTACAGATTAAGATTCAGGAAATATATTAACAGATTATATTGACCTTCAGTTTCTATAGGACTTTTGTTTTAATTTAATAGGGATTCCTTGAGTGAAATTATTTTTCTTTACTACTTCAGTTATTACTGTGAGTAAACTCTTTTTCTTTCTCCTTTTCTAAATGTTAATTTAATTTAAAGTCTATATTAGATTGTAAAATATTCCCATTGGTGGCAAATTTTACCAGTTATTTAATACCCAGCATTAGAATGATTAGATGCTCCTGGTGACAGCAGGCCTCAGTGGTCTTCATCTGCCTTCATCTCAACTTCATTTTGTTCAGCTGCATTTCTTCAGACTTTGGGTTTTTATAACTTATGCTAACATTTATGAGTAAGTTCTTAATTCAGAATTGCTGTTACTTTGAGAATTCAAATCGATTAGCAGTTGGTAAACACTACAAATGGGAGCTCTAGTAGCATAGTAGGATCTCTGGTAGCATAGTGCCTAAGGCACTTGACTGCTAATCAAAAGGCTGGTGGTTCAAACCCATCAGCCACTCCTCCTCGGAAGGAAGGTTGGTCAGTCCACTTCCATAGTGATACTGCCTCGGAAACCCAAGGAGGGGTCGCTATGAGTTGGGTCCGACTCAACGGCACATATCAACAACAGCAGTAGCATAGTGCCTAAGGCACTTGACTGCTAACCAGAAGGCTGGTGGTTCAAACCAACCAGCCATTTCTCAGAAGGAAGGTTGGGCAATCCACTTCCATAGTGATACTGCCTCGGAAACCCAAGGAAGGGTCGCTATGAGTTGGATGGCACATATCAACAACAACAGCATAGTGCCTAAGGCACTTGACTGCTAACTAGAAGGCTGGTGGTTCAAACGCACCAGCCATTCCTCGGAAAGAAGGTTGGGCAATCCACTCTGAAGGTTGGGCAATCCACTTCCATAGTGATACTGCCTCAGAAACCCAAGGAGGGGTCACTATGAGTCAGGGCCGACTCGATGGCACATAACAACAGCAACAACAACAACACTACAAATATGATAAGTTGACAGATTTCAGCAAACTAGCTTGTATTTTAAAATGATTGGGGGAGTCCATTTTCAGTTATGCATAAGCTTGGAGCTGAAAGAGCATCTGTCCCAAATGTTAGAGCGCAGTTGAGTCTAGAACCTCCCCAGCACGTGATCTCAGTGGCTTAAATTGGTTCTTGCTACATTTCTTTTAAAGTGGTATCTCTCAATTTGGTAAATCTGTAAATGAGTGTTTTAGGTCTTTGGTCAAAAAGTAAATCCAGTTTAAATGAAGAATTTATACCTTGTACTCATCCATAGATTAAAATAGGGGTCAGCAAACTATGACCCACAGACTAGTTTGGTAATTGTAACAGCCTGCAGCTAAGAATGGTTTTTTACTTTTAAAAGTGCTGTTAAAAAAAATAAGGAGCCCTGGTGGCACAGTAGGAGTTCTGGTGGCTCTGGTAGTGCCTAAGGCACTTGACTGCTAACCAGAAGGCTGGCGGTTCAAACCCACCAGCCACTTCTCGGAAGGAGGACTGGGCAATGTACTTCCGTAATGATACTGCCTCGGAAACCCAAGGAGGGGTCGCTATGAGTCGGATGCGACTCAGTGACAATTTATTTGGTTTGTTTTGGTTTGGGGTGGCACAATGAGTTAAGCAACTAAATGAAGGGTTGGCTATTTGAATCCACCCAGAGACTCCATGGGAGAGAGACTTGGCAATCCGCTCCTGAAAGATCACAGCCTAGAAACCGTATGGGGGCAGTTCTGCTCTGTCACATGAGTTGAAACCTTCTCAGCCACACCTAACAACAAAAATAAAAATAAAGGAAAGGAAAACTACATGACAGAGACCATATTTGGCCTTGTTGTTGTTGTTGTTGTTATGTGCCATCGAGTCAGCCCCGACTCATAGCGACCCCTCATTGGGTTGCCGGGGCAGTATCACTATGGAAGTAGGATTGCCCAACCTAAAATATTTACTATGTGGCTAAATCCTGAAAAAGAAAACCCTGTAGCTTTGTGCCCTAGAGAGGAATATCAGTGTTTTGAGAATATTATATTCTTGGAATTGCTCTGTTATATATTTATTTTTTGAAATATTAGTAAGATTATCTTTGCAGTTATACAAAGTTGCCCCTTCAGAATGAGGGAATTCCTAGGTGTCATTTTTCTATGTTAACAAGCACTGATAAATTAGCTTTCATAAAACCCCAAGGTTGTTTTCTCTTTTATAGCTATTTGTTTCCTGATGGACGAAATCAGAATCCCGACCTGACAGGCTTATGTGAACCAACTCCCCAAGACCACATCAAAGTGACCCAGGTGAGATTTATTTTGCATTATAACCTTGTCATAAAATCCATCAGGAGTCAAGCTTTTTTATACTTAATAGAACTGACAGTATAAATACATTGATTGATTGGAACACTTTAATTTGAAACCGTTGACTAGGTTAATGAATCTGTGTGCTTCCAAACTTAATAATGTGTGATTTCTCTTTAAACTGTGCAACTTTAAATAGGATCATGCCTAGTTGCTTTCCAGTTTAATGGGAAAACACTGACAACAGTTTTGACATTTTATGCAAGTAAAATTTCTGTAGACAGTAAGAGTCTTGAGTTTTCTTGATTTATTTATTTATGATTGCATGCATTCATTCAACAGATGTTTGCAATAGAGTGAATAATCTCTTAATTTTTTTTTCTTTTTAATCAAAGGAACAATATGAATTATACTGTGAGATGGGCTCCACATTCCAACTGTGTAAAATATGTGCCGAAAATGACAAGGATGTGAAGATTGAGCCCTGTGGCCACCTCATGTGCACTTCCTGTCTTACATCCTGGCAGGTATGGGTCCAAACCATATGTTTTCTCAGCTTTATAATCACTCTGAAGAATTGGTTATTGTTATCCTTTACAGATGCACAGGATGGCCTGGTTGGTGGATAGTTTTGAAACTTTTTCATCTCTGAGAAATGTATTTCCTAGTCAGTGAAAATTTAAAATATTTTCAGGTGCTTCAGTTACTCTGTCCTGCTTCCTCTGCAGGAATCAGAAGGTCAAGGCTGCCCTTTCTGCCGATGTGAAATTAAAGGTACTGAACCCATCGTGGTAGATCCATTTGATCCTAGAGGAAGTGGCAGCCTGTTGAGGCAAGGAGCAGAGGGAGCTCCCTCTCCAAATTATGATGATGATGACGATGAACGAGCTGATGATTCTCTCTTTATGATGAAGGAATTGGCTGGTGCCAAGGTAAGACTACAATTGAGGAAACTGGCAAAATCCATTGTAAGTTATGTTCTAAAGCATTAGAGCACTTAATGACATCCAAACTACAAGGAGTAGTAATAGCTAATATTACTGAGCATTTGTTATACGATAGTACCATGTTAAACACTTTACTTACTTTAACTCATAATATTTACGAGAGTTCTATGAGTTGTTGTTGTTTGCCGTCGAGTCGGCCCCAACTCATAGCGACCCCTCCTTGGGTTTCCGAGGCAGTATCACTACGGAAGTAGATTGCCCAACCTCCCTTCTGAGGAGTGGCTAGTGCGTTTGAACTGCCAGTCTTCTGGTTAGCAGTCAAGTGCCTTAGCCACTACACTACCAGAGCTTCTTATCCTATGAGTAGGTACTATTATTATCCTCCTTTAACAGATGAATAAACCAACACACAGAGAAGTTAAGGAATTTTCTGAAAATCATCTTCTGGTTTCAGGGCCCATGCTTTTATTTTCTGCATCCTAGCACTGGGGCTTGACTCAGATAGCCTGTTGGAGAAAATGATAAGGAATAGAAGAATTAAAGTGTATTTCGCTACTGTGATTAGAATTTGTTGTTCTTGTCCATTTTTCTAAATGGAGTCTTGGCATTAGAAGATTAGATTGGGAGGTAGGGGAAGGAGGTACTTTTAATAACTGCATAAATGGAAGTTAACATGATTAGAGGGAGGTAGGAGCTACCATGTGGAAGCTAAACAAAACTAGAAGGCCTTAGTAAAGAGAGAAAAGCTAAAGGCAGAGAGAGAATGCGATCACATTCAACAGACTGTCAGAGGGTGGGACAAAATGAATTTATTCACAAAATCCTAAAGTTGTTTTTCATTAAGTACAGGACAAACAGAAGACTCTAATATGCTAGATTCTATAGTTCAGAATGTTTTATAAATTAATAGGACACATTTCCTTGTTACAAAAGCAGCTTTCTTTTTATTTGCACCTGACTGCGTGGCGCATAGTAGGTGCTCAATAAAATATATGGGTTTTATCTCTTTAATGGTTGTAGCCAGTGTATCTCCTTCTCTCTGTCTCCGATGCTACTGCCTCATGCAGGCTCTCAGCATCTGTTCTTCTGGCTGCCAAAGTGATCTACAACACAGATGTAACCACCTCATTCTTCTGCATTGTACTATTTGATGGCTTCTCATTTTCTGATGGTTTAAGTTCATTCTCCTTTGCCCTGATACTTCTTTCCACTTTGTAAGTTATGGTCCACTCCTTGGAAGGAAGGTTGGGCAATCTACTTCCGTAGTGATACCTCCTCGGAAACCCAAGGAGGGGTCACTATGAGTCAGGTCCAACTCAACGGCGCATAACAACAACAACAAGAAGTTATGGTCCAGCAAAGCTAAAGTGCTTAGAATTCCTCAACTATTTTGGTAGTTGCTGTGTAATTTAGTTCAGTCTTCATTTCCTAGGAAACCTTTCCTGACTGTACCTTGTCTTCCCCAGCCCCTATTCACACACATATAATACAGGTTTGGCCAGGTGTTTCTGGGACCCTGTGACTTGTCTGTCATAGATCTGACTACTTTATAATATTTTATTAAAAATAATTCCCATTATAACTTCTTACAAGGCAAGAACCATGTCTTACTTGTAATTAGCTACTCAAAGTTGGGCTCATAGTAGTTACTTTCAGTGTTTGACTGGAATTAAAAACACTTCAAAACAGAGTTTGGGAAGTTTGCAGATGCTAGGTCAATAATGGGTAGTCGAAGAAATATAGACTATTTGAGCAGTATATTCTTGGTGTCTTGAGGCTGACAGAGGTTAGTATTGGCTTCTCATAGTGGGTTGTTGGGTTCCATTTTATTTTATTTTATTTTTTAATGTTTACTTCATTTTTATTTTTAATTTTTTATTTTAAGAGCTAGTTTTACATTCAACATTACATGTACATTTAGTTTCACTCCCCATTTACCATGCCCAACCCTACCTAACCCAGTCTACTCTGCTCCCTGCCCAGTAACCTCCTCTGTGCCCCTCGTGGTTATGCACTCCTGTTTGTCCTGCATTTCCTCAGTTTGAATGTTGGTCCTCTGATGCCCCGTGGTCTCTTGCCCTAAGGGATATATTACCATAGAGTATGTGGGTGTGTCATCCTGTTTGGTCTGCATGTACATCTTGTTAACTATTGGGCTGAGAGCTAGCCCCTGGGAGTGAGTTTTATTCCAGGCGCAGAATGTACTCCAAGGCCATAGTATTGGGGGGTCTCATCAGACTCCATCTGACTAGTAATTCTGGTCATTGCTGAGTTTTTGGATTTTGTTCCACATATTTCCTCCCACTCTATCCAGGATCTCCAGATTTGATCCTCTCCTGAGTGGTTGGCATTGGTAGCCGGCACCGTCTAGCTCTTTTGGTCTTGATGGTCATCATGTCCTAGGGCTGATTGCATCCATATGCCCTTGTGTTTTTGCACTCTTCTTCACTTCCTACACTAGGAGACCATTAGCTGCATTTTAGATGGCCGCTTGAAAGCTTTTAAGATGCCAGTCACTACTCGCCAATGTAGGATGCGGAACAAGGCTTTTATGCATTTTGTTGTGCCAATTGAGTCTGGTGTTCCCCAGTACTATGGTCCTGAGACAGTACATCTATCAGATCTCTCCCCCACAGTGTCTGGGTGTCTGTGAGGGATTACTTTGTGTCTGTCTTCTGTTTCTGTAAGGATTGCAGGTATTTTGTATCACTTGGGTCCATTTTAAAATAATCATTTGACCCCCAAAACAACTTTGTGTTCTTCTGTAGATTACTATCTGCTCATTCATGAGAATTTATTATTAACTTCTGAAATATTGGGAAAGTTGAATAATTTGCCTTACCAACAGAGAGAATTTTTATTCTTTTATTATTATTCCCGTACATATTTATTTGAGATTAAAATGCCCTTTTTTCTTTATTAAATTTTAAACACTCATTGTGGAGAAGCAGACACTCACATTCAGTGTTGGTATGGGTACAGATTGGTTCCATGTTTTTTGGAGAACAGCTTGACATCTGTCAAAATGTATAATGTTCACAGTTTGGATTAGTAGTTCCATTTCTAGGAGTCTATCCTAAAGAAATACAAGTACACAGAAGCATAGATGTAGTTATTTGTAATTATTATTACAGCCTTATTTGTAATAATAAAAAATTAGGAAGGCCCTATAAGTTCCATCAGTAAGATTATGATATATCTATATATTAGTATTCTGTTGTTGCTATAACAAATTACCACAAATTTAGCAGCTTAAACATAAATTTATTACCTAAGAGTTGTATAGATCAGAAGTCCAACATCAGGCTAAAATGCAAGGTGCTAGAAGGTCTGTATTCCTTTCTGGAGGCTCTAGCAGAGTTTCTGTTTCCTTGTTCATTTGGGTTTTGGCAGAATTTAGTCTTTGCAGTTGTAGCATTGAGATCCCTGTTACTTTCTGGTTGTCAGCTGAAAGTCATGCCCAGCTTCTAGAGGTTAGCAACATCCTATGGCTTGTGGACTCCTTTCCTTCTTCCATCCTATCTCTTTAAGGTTCTCTGTTTTTTAAGGACTTGTAAAATTATATTGGGCCTGCTAGATAATAATCCAGGACAACCTCCTCATCTCAAGAACCATACCCTTAGCACATGAGCCAAGTGTTTCATTTCTTTTACTTTTCTCCTATAAATGACATATTCACACATTCTGGGCATTAGAGTATGAACATCTTTGGGGGATTATTATTCTGTCTACTGCAGTTCATATCATGGAATATTCTGCAAAATAAGCTCAACTTATGTACTTAGATGGAAAGCTGTCTTCTAGTGCATGTTAAGGTTAAAAGCAACTTGTAGTATTGTATATATAGGATAACCTCATTTCTGTAAAAGACATTTTAATTGTAAAACAAAGGTCTTAAAATATGTGTAAGAGAAAAAAATTGGATGATTCCATACCAAATTATTTATGATTATTTCTGAGGATAGAAGTTCAGAGGATTTTAACTTTTAAGTCATTTGTGTAGAGTATTGAATTTTTTATAACTAACACACTGCTTTAGCAAGGCCTGTGTTGAGCTAGGTAAGTAGCTCTGTGTTCAGTACTACATGGTTCAAGAAAATTTAAGACAAGGCCACCAAAGAACTAGTAGTTTTATTTGGGAAGAGATTATATATGCAGCTGAAACACTGTTGAACACAAAGCAGACTATTTTAGATTATTGGCTACATACTCTTTAAGTGCTATAAGAGTTTAGAGGAAAGAAGGAAATAAACACATTTTCCTAGCCGGTGTGTGTGTGTGTATGCGTGTGTGTGTTTCTCTCTCGTTGTAGTTGTTATGGGCCATCAAGTCGGACCCGACTCATAGCGACCCCTCCTTGGGTTTCCGAGGCGGTATCACTTCAGAAGTAGATTGCCCAACCTTCCTTCCGAGGAGTGGCTGGTGGGTTTGAACCGCCAGCCTCCTGCTTAGCAGTCATATGCCTTAGGGACTACGCTACCAGAGTTTCTTGCTGGGTAGTGCAAATTGTTAAGCACTCAACTACAAGCTGGAAGATTCTGAAAGATTACAGTTGAAACCCACCGAGAGGCATCTCAGAAGACAGGCCTGGCAGTCTGCTTCCAAAAGGTCACACAGCCTTGAAAAGGTGATGGAGCCATCCTACTGAGGTTTCCATGACTTGTGATTAACTCCAAAGCAGCTATTAACATATATAAATATAATAAAATTTACTTATTAATAAATGTGTAGAGGGCATTGGTGGTTCAGTGGTAGGTAGAATTCTCACCTGCCACCTGGGTTTCATTGCTGGCCAGTACACCTCATGTACAGTCACCACCGTCAGTCACTGGAGGCTTACATGTTGCTATGATGCTTAACAGGTTTCAGTGGAGCTTTCAGACTGAGACAGACTAGGGAGAAAGGCCTGAAAACCAGCCGGTGAAAACCCTGTGCATCACAAGGGTTAGTCGGCAACTATTCCTGGGGATGGCGCAGGACCAGCT